ATATTTTGTCGTGGTTGTTGAAGTACCTGTCTGAGACACCCGGAGTAAAACGACACGAGTGGCTTTCTCAGGATCTGGCCGACTTCGGACAATTGGCTTTACTAGTTCTTTTATTGGGGGTTTGTGGAAATTGGGGGGGACCTATCGGATCCATTCAAGGCATTTCCTTCTCTTCCATCAGCGCAGTGCGCCAGGATGGATGTCTCTCTCTCTCTCTCTCTCTCTTTTTTTTTTTTTGCGGGGGGGGGGCGCCCTGAGGCGCGGGGGGGGACATTGCTGCTGCCATTACTCCTGCCATTACTCCTGATGCTGCCGCCGCCGCTGCTCTGGGCGCCTGGAGGAGCGCGCGGCACTTTCGCTCGGACCTCGTAGGTGTCGCTGTTGACCACCTTTGCGCCGCAGCCCGGAGTGTCCCGCGAAGCACGTGACCGGCGGGGAGGTAGCGGCTCAAGGCCATTTTCAAATCTCATTGGCTTAGCAGTCATGTGGTTGTGCAGAGGCATCCACAATTACACAGGGAATGTTTTCGTAGAGATGTCAGCCTACAAAGGACACAATCCCTCTTCTTCAAATTCCTCCCCAAAATGTCCTTTCCCAACAGCTCTCCTGCCGCGAATACTTTTTTAGTCGATTCCTTGATCAGTGCGTGCAGGAGCGATAGCTTTTATTCCAACAGCGCCAGCATGTACATGCCACCCAGCACAGACATTGGGACTTATGGGATGCAAACCTGTGGACTTCTACCGTCTCTGGCAAAAAGAGAAGTTAACCATCAAAATACTATGGGTATGAATGTACATCCTTATATACCTCAAGTAGACAATTGGACAGACCCCAACAGGTCCTGCCGAATAGAGCAACCTGTTACTCAGCAGGTCCCCACTTGTTCCTTTACGACAAATATTAAGGAAGAGACCAACTGCTGCATGTATTCGGACAAGAGGTCAAAGCTGGTGTCTTCATCCGACGTCCCTTCCTACCAGAGGCTGGTCTCTGACTCCTGCCCCATTGAAAACCCCGAGGTTCCCGTCCCAGGATATTTCAGGCTGAGCCAGACCTACGCCACTGGGAAAACCCAAGAGTACAATAACAGCCCCGAGACGAGTTCCACTGTCATGTTACAGCTCAACCCTCGCGGCGCATCCAAACCGCAGCTCGCCTCGCAACTTCCGATGGAGAAGAAAATGAATGAAAATCCCAACAGCAGCAGCACCACCAGCAGCAACACCACCACTAGCAGCAGCAGCAGCACCAGCACCAGCAGCAGCAACCACCACCACCATCACCACCACCACCCCGACAACTCTGCCAAAGTCTCTCAAGTGGAAAGTCCCGAGACCAAGTCGGCGCTGCAGGACGACCGGAGCTGCTTGGCCGAAGCCTCCGTGTCCAGCCCAGAAAGCCAAGAGAAAGAAAGCAAAGGTCGGTACCCATGACGGAATTGGGTGAGCCTAACGAGGGTGGCAGCCTCACTTGGGCGCCTGGTCTCGTAAACCTCAAGGGGTAGTGCTTCAAGGCACCCTTCTAGAAGGGTTGAGCAAAAGAACCCTCTTTCTTCTTTCTCTCCCTCCCTCCCTCCCTCCCCCTCTCTCTGTCTGTCTGTTTCTCTTGCTTCTAAGCTCTCTGAAGCATTTCTGGGGTGGGGCAGTGGAGGGGGGGGGAAAGAAAGGGTTAGATAGGTTTTCCACAATATTTCTTATGTTCATCTTTTTTTCACCCTTTGGGAGGTGGGATGAAAAGAGGTGTTTCCTCTGGACCGACTCCTGCAGGAGCCCCTTCTAAAAAGGATTTTTAAGCTGGAGGTTGATAAATCCCAAACAGTTCGACTTCTCCTTTGGTGAGATTGGGGCCAAATATTTCCTGTGCCTCCCTTTCTTCTCTAGCTCCTTTGACTTCTAAACAGATACTGAAAATAAAGCTTTAAAAAAAATTGTAGGAAAAAAGAGGTGTCGCAGAGCTATACCAAGTTTGAAGGAGATGTACAATAAGAAACGTGTTTTTTCTTCTTCTTCCTAGACAAGGAAAATTGGGATTTGATCCTTTAGGTAGCCTAGAATGGCTCTTCAAAGATTTGCTATAGTTTGCAGGCTAATACTAAATAACTAAAGGGAGAGTCAATTTCTTTGTCTTATAAAAGGGAATGGGGGGGTGCACATATGGTGCAATAGGGAAAAAAAACCGGGAAACGTGCTATTAGTAAAAATTATCTTTGCAATCTCTGCAATGAATTTTACCAAAATTGTATGCATACCAAGTGCACAACAATTATAGGCGATCACTTAGTAGCCTAGGTCAACATTTGCTTCTATCTGGTGAAGAAAAATCCTCAAAGGGGAATGAAAAACATCTTTGCTCTAGGTATTTCCCAGATATCCTTACCCCCGGCGCCATTAAGGGTAAAAAGGCCATCTTGGTTTTTCTGACTGTTTAATTGCAGGGGTGATGTAGGCGGATCCCTCTTTCAAAGGAAAGGGGATAAAAACTGTATTTAATTGAGGCATTCCCCAAGTACATGGCTCCTAATTCTTGAGTTGGTACTTACAATTCACGCCCAGTAAGATGTGACCACTGGAAAGATGGCAGAATTCATATGCGTCCCTCCTCATGTCATAGAGTAATGAAAGTATGGGTGCTAATGTATAGAGATTGTGCATAGACAACGTCTGGAAATAATCTAGAGAATGGTCGTTTGCATTGCTATCGTTGTTTAACTGGAACCTGGAAAGCCATTCTATTAAAAACCCACCCTTCTTTAGTGCACGCCTCTTCTTAACAATGTTTAATACCTACAAACCACCATATCTGCAAGACACAATGGAGGTGGGTTCATGGCCAAGGGTACACTATAACACACTGAGGTGTTGTCTTTTTTTTCCCCCATTTTCTATTTATTTTTCTTTTCTTCCTTCCTTCTCCTTTAATTTTGCTAGAGGAAATCAAGTCTGATACTCCAACCAGCAATTGGTTAACTGCAAAGAGTGGCAGAAAGAAGAGGTGTCCTTATACTAAACATCAAACCTTGGAATTAGAGAAAGAGTTCTTATTCAATATGTATCTCACTCGAGAGCGCCGCCTAGAGATCAGTAAGAGCGTAAACCTCACTGACAGGCAGGTCAAGATATGGTTTCAAAACCGCAGAATGAAGCTCAAGAAGATGAGCAGGGAGAATCGAATCCGAGAACTGACTGCTAATCTGACCTTCTCTTAAACCGGTTCACCTGAGGGTTCACCATAACTGAGGTATAAGCTCAGTTACCACCAGTTGCTACACGTGTAGGAAAGACTTCCGGAGGGGGGGGGAGAGGAAAAAACACACCCCTTCATTTTCCAATTTTTTTTACATTTCTGATAGAATGTGACCTTTTGTCCTTCTTTTTAGTGCTGCAAGTGTCTATGTATGTTCCTATGACGAGTATATATATATACATACATACATATATATATATTAAAAAGAAACCTAGCACGTGTAATTTATTATTTTTTCTCATCGTAATGCAGGGTAAACTGATTGAATATGATCATTTGGTCTTAACTTATTGGAGCTGCCGAACATCCGGACAATGTGACTTCCCCCCCCTCCTCCCAGTGTTTTTAACTAACCACGTGGTATTTATGTGGGGGCTGTTACATGGACCATAACATTTTCAATATATAAAAAATATTTCAAGATTTATTTTAAAAGAAAAAAAGAGAAACTTTTGAGGGTAGGGTGGGGTGGGGGCGGGAGGCAAAAGAAGAAGAAGAAAAGGAAAGCGAGGGGGGAATTAAAAAGCACATTTTATGATGTAACAATCCATTTTTCCGTCTGCGTCAGACCTGTTCTTCGTGCCATGGACTCCTTCATTCTCAACTGTAGACATTTTCCCCCTTTTCCTTGTGGTGCATACGTGGAATGGTAGTGGTATAAACAGCAATATGTCTTCTTATTGTGCATGTCCTATTCGCATGTATAATGCAATAAACTCTGTAAAGTCATGAGGTTCCTTTGGTCTTTGAAGAATTTGAAACAGAATAAAATAAAATGCCAAACCATAGTTGACAGTTTTCGCAGGGTCTTCTCCCGTCCACCCCACCCAGCCTCTGTGAAGTCCATGGTTTTTTTCTTGCCCAACTGAAGGGTCGAAGCAAGTGGAATGAACTGGAAGTTGGAGGGAAGTTTAGGTCAGCTGAGTTCCTTTATGTTGGCCCCTTTTCTGCCTTAAAAAAACAACAACACCAACACCAACAATCGTAAACTGGAAGGTTGTGAGGAAAAGGTCCAATATTGCGGCTTAGCGTCGGCCGCCGCTTGAGCGAGCCAGCCCTCTGAAAAGCCTGTAAAATGTTACGACTCTTAAAAACCTGGACGTCTTCCTGCCAGCCCCTCCTAAATGGTAAGTTGACTTTCAAGTGAAATAAAAAGAAAGCTGGACACAAAAACCCTAAGAAGGAAACGAGCGGATGTTATAAGGAGATCTAAAAATTGCTCTCGAATAGCAGCGAAGCGGACCTGTTTTCCTTCACTTCGTTTTTCTTTAAATACATTCAGTTAGATTCCTAGATAGGCAGACAGGTAGAAATTCTAAGTACATTAAAAAAAAGCAGTACAAATTCTCATTTGAGAATAATAATTTTTAATTTTTTTTTAAAAAAATGATCCATTTCCCCCCTTTAATCGGCCCAGGTATAAACCGATCGCCCCAGGGCCCGTACGCTTTCCGTACTTTATGGGGGGGGGGGGGGCGGCGGTCTCTGACCAGGGCCTTTTCCCTGTTTAGCTTCGGAAACCTCACGCTCTGTAGCAAAGGTTGAACACCCCAACCTATTTAACCTCTTCTAGTTTCTGGATTGCTGCTGCTGTAGCTGCTTCCTTCCTGCCTGGCACATATCAAGAAGTTCACGACCCTGCGAAATATGGGCCCTCGCCACTCGATCCTGCCAGAGGAATAGGAAAGGGGGTGGTGGTGAAAGAAGCCGAGTTGGGGGGGGGGAAGAGAGGAAAAAACGACGAGGAAGCAATAACTGAGTTAAAAGAGAGTTTGCAAATGAACATGACTCCGAGATGAAGTCCAAATGCTTTCACCTTCAAAAAGGACTGGAAAGCTCAGGGCAAGCGGTCGGCTCCGAGGCAGGCTCGTAACCCATCAGGAAACACCCCTGCTTGGTTTCTAAAACCTAGAAATGTCCTCCAAAAGGTTGAAAATATTTGCTTTCCTAAAGATACTCAGTGGTTTCATAAAAGATCTGGGTCGTCATCCCACGTTCCAGCCTCTCGCTTTCCAGGACCTGTTCCGGGGCATGTTGCCCTTCCAGAAGAATGTGTGTACCTATGGCCGAACACTTCCAACAGATCAGAAACGGCGGGGATTTACATGAACTCAGGGTGCGCACCTAGAAAGCATCTTTATTGCATAGATAGTAAGAGAAAGAGGGGGGTCGTTTATATACGAGTAGGGGTGTGTGAGAAGGAAAGAGAGAGGCTGTGTGAGAGAGTTTATCTGTGTTCATACCACATTGTTGGATGTACCGAAGGTTGTGCTTTTTTAAATAAAATAATCTCGTGATCTCAGTTGCTTCGCATGAGAAGATCTCTTCATCACAACACACACAAGGCACTTCTGGGCCATTCTGAGCCTATTTATCAATTTATTACAAAATACGTTCTCAGTCAACACCAGAAGATATTCCTTTGACAATTTAAGGAAGGCGACACTCCCTCTGACCCATTTTTGAAATTCTTCTGCTTTACCTGAAAATGACAGTATTGGCTTCCCCGTGGTTCTATGGGCTTGCACATTAAATGTATCAATGAATCTTAAGTGTGAATACATGTGGATGCGCACACGTCAAGAAATGGGCATTCTTGGACATAAAAAACTCTCTCTCTCTCTCTCTCTCTCTCTCTCTCTCTCTCTCTGTGTGTGTGTGTGTGTGTTACAGCAAATCAAAACTTAACAGGCCAATATTTTAAAAAATTGGTTTCCAGCAAATCTTTGAGAGGTGCTTTAAGAGAGCAGTCAGTCATAAGTAACTGGAAATTTCAGCTCTGCGTTTGGAAGTTATATGTTGCCAACCATGTATGTTTTCTTCCTACTGTTTTTTCTTTTATTGTTTTATTCCAAGCAAAGACTTGAAATCGAACTAACCCCGCCAATTCTTCCCACATTCAAGCTCATCCTTCTCTTAGCCTGTCTGAAGAGCAAACACCGACGGAAGAAGAAAAACAATTTGGCCCATTAGTTCTTAAATATCGGTGGAAGATTCACTCCGGGTCCAGAACGCTTTCTGGCAACTTGGCCTCTCCAGGAAAATAAAAAAGGTGATAAAACCAGATTGAATCTCCGTGACCTCTCTAAGGGAGGGTGGAGTCTCTCTGTCGGTGTGCGTGTGTCTCTCTGTGTGTAAAAGCTTGTATTTACCAAGGAAATATCCTAGGGGTGGGAGAGAAGTTTCGCAATCCTCATTGCAGTGGGTCTTGTGTTTGGCTTATGAGCGAGTGTTTGCAAAGCGGACTTGAGTGAGGGAAGTGTCTCCTTCCAACCGAGCTGCGTTGAAGGCAAGCGAAAACCAGGACTCATTCCTTCCTTCCTTCCTTCGCTTGTTATATTCAATCGTTTAGGGCTTTTTTCCCTCCAACTCTGAAGTGCCTGGAGGGGATGCTACCGCCTCGTTTGAAGCACCCGAGTTTCCACCCTCCCCACGCTAAGGTGGTGCTCAGGTTTAAGTCAGTGATGGAAGGGAAAGAGGAGGGGGGAGGAAAGAGGGGAAAGAGGGAAGAGCAAGAGAGACAGAGACAGAGGAGAGTTCTCTCCCCCCCCCTCCACCTCTCGCTTGCCATCAGTCCATTTTATTAGAGGGCCAGATTAATCTATAATCAAATGCACCTCATAAAATTTTTATTGAAAGGCATAAAATCATTGCGGAGAGGTCTTCCACCTGTTTTAAAACAACACAATGGGCCGCTCGTTCGCTTGCTCTGTCTCGCTCGCTCTCTCGTTTTACAACCATTCTCTCCTGCCCTGTTTAAAAATAAATAAATAGAAAGAGAGAGAGAAGAAGAAGAAAGGAAACCACACCAAGGCTGCCTCTTGAAAAATGGCAGTCTGCGCATTGTGTGCTTTTACTGTAACATCTCCCCGCTTTACGAGGAGCCAGGCTTTATGTGCTTCGTAGCTTTGGGGAGAATTTGTTTTCACAGGAAAGGCTTCTGGGCTGGGTTGTGTGTCTGTCTACGGGCGTCTCTGCGTGTGTCGCCCCTTCTTCGGCCTTCCTGGTTTCTTTTTCTTTCAACGGGAGGGCTTCTTGGCCGGGTTCAATGGCAGGGAGGAACCCAGCCCAGCAGAACTTCGGTCCGTGGGGCCGATGGTCGGAATGAATGGTCGGGATCCCTCCAGGAAGGTGAAAGAAATAGTTCCGCCAAGTTGCTGCTGCTGCTGCTGCTGCTCCTGCGCCACACCCGCCTGGAGCCTGAAGGGTGGCGGGTTTTTCCCTTTGCTGCACACAGTGACACTCGAGTGGATGGCTGTTAATAAATACTATTTTATACGTACACCTACAGGATGGCGATGGGTGTGTGTGTGTCTTGTCCTTGTTGGCTGATTAGATGTTGTTGTTGTTTTTTTAATCACAGAAAACCACCCCCACCACCCCCCATTCTCAGTTTAGCGGATTGATTTACTCAAGAGTATTGGTAAATATGATCACGTGGGCGGAGGGACCAATGGTTGAAGCTGGCAGTCTGCAAAATACTACGATTGTTCTCAGGGCACGGCGATCATCTACAGTTAACAGAGTAACCTTTTTTGCCTTCCCCCCCATATGCCCTGCCACGGAGGAAGCCTCCAAAAAATGTCGTCGAGCGGCACCCTCAGTAACTACTATGTCGATTCGCTCATAGGCCACGACAGCGAATCCCCCTCAGGTGTGGGGGCCGAGGGCTCGGATTTCGCCTCCTGCAGCTTCGCGCCCAAGTCCGCCGCCGTCTTCTCCGCCTCGTGGTCGGCCGTCCACCCGCAGCCGTCGGCGCCCATGCCGGGTATCTACCACCCGTACATGCCCCAGCCACACTTAGGGGGGGAGAACGGCGGCGGCGGCGGCAGATACGTGCGCTCCTGGATCGAGCCCTTCGCCTCTTTCCCCAGCAGCCCGAGCGGCGGCGGCGGCCCCAGCGTTCACGCCTCCGCTGCTGCTGCTGCTGCCGGCTCGGCTGCGGCTACCCTCGCGCCCGCCAGCGTCGGTCCGGGCTCCTCTGGCGTC